TTGGAATGTCTTCAAGGAAATGGTGGAGCCATTCAGCTTCTTCTCCACATTTGTCCAAGGCAATGAACTCAGATTCCATTGTAGATCTAGCTACAATAGTTTGTTTAGAAGACTTCCAAGATACTGCCCCACTGGCAAGTGTGAACACATATCCACTTGTGGATTTTGAATCTTTTATATCAGATATCCAATTTGCATCAGCATACCCTTCTAAAACAGCAGGGTATCTAGTGTAATGCAGTCCATAGTTCCGAGTGTACCGTAGGTATTTAAGCACCCTTAAAATTGCTTTCCAATGATCAGCACTCGGGTTGCTTGTAAACCTGCTCAATTTGCTCACAGCATATGCAATGTCAGGTCTAGTACAACTCATTAAATACATTAGACTTCCAATGATTCTTGAGTATTCTACTTGAGAAATACTCTCTCCTCTATTCTTAGATAGATGGAAACTAGTGTCTAATGGAGTTCTTGCAATTCCAGAATCATTCTTATTGAATTTTTCCAGAATCTTGTCCACATAATGAGTTTGGCTCAAGACCAACCCGTCTGATATTCTTGTAATTTTAACTCCTAAAATTACATCAGCAAGCCCCATATCTTTCATGTCAAATTTTGAATTCAACATGTCCTTGGTAGATTTGACCATTTTGTCATTACTACCAACAATAAGTATGTCATCTACATAAAGACATAAGATGACATAGCCATTGTCTGTTTCTTTAGTGTAGACACATTTGTCACACTCATTTATTCTGTATCCATTAGTTATCATTGCATTGTCGAACTTTTCATGCCATTTCTTTGGCGCTTGTTTTAGTCCATACAATGATTTCACTAATTTACAAACTTTATTTCCTTTTCCCGGAGTTATGAAGCCCTCAGGTTGCTCCATGTAGATTTCTTCATCTAAATCACCATTTAAGAAAGCTGTCTTTACATCCATTTGATGTATCTCCAGATTTCTCAATGCAGCGATAGCAAGAATCATTCTGATAGAATTTATTCTCGTAACAGGAGAATAAGTATCAAAATAATCCAAACCTTCTTGTTGCTTGTATCCTTTGATTACAAGTCTGGCTTTGTACTTATCGACAGAGCCATCAGGTTTCATTTTCCTTTTAAAGATCCATTTGGACCCTAAAGGTCTACAACCAGGAGGAAGATCCACTAACTCCCATGTATGATTCTGTAAAATAGAATCAACCTCACTTTTTATTGCTTCTTTCCACAAAAATCCTTCAGAAGAACTTACAGCTTCTGTATAGGTTTGTGGTTCCTTTTCTAATAGAAAAGTTGTAAAATCATCTCCAAATGATTTTTCCACTCTAGCCCTTTTGCTACGTCTCGGTTCATCTTGTTGAATCAAGTCATGATCATGTTTTTCTTGATTCACAACTTCATGTGTTCGTTTTGAAGAACTTGATGCACCATTCGATTTACAAGGAAACACATCTTCAAAGAATGAAGCATTCCTTGATTCCATTATCGTATTTTTGTGTATATCCGAAATTTCTGAATTATACACAAGAAACCGATAAGCAACACTATTATGTGCATAGCCTATAAAGATACAGTCCACAGTTCTAGGACCTATCTTTGTTCTTTTTGGTGCTGGAATAGCCACTTTTGCAAGACACCCCCACACTTTCAAGTATTTGTAGGATGGTCTCCTACCTTTCCATAACTCATAAGGAGTTTTATCTTGTTTTTTCCGGGGTACCCTATTTAAAAGGTAATTGCTTGACAAAATAGCTTCGCCCCACATATTTTGAGGCAATCCTGAACTTAGTAACATCGCATTCATCATTTCCTTTAGTGTGCGATTTTTCCGTTCAGCAACACCATTCGATTGTGGTGAGTAAGGTGCAGTTACTTCATGAACAATTCCATATTTTGCACAGTAACCACCAATAGGTGTTTCATATTCACCACCTCTATCACTTCTTAACCTTTTAATTCTCCGGTTAAGTTGATTTTCAACTTCATTCTTGTAGAGAATGAATTTTTTCAAGGCTTCATCTTTACTTTTGAGCAAATACACATAACAGTATTTTGTGCAATCATCAATGAAAGTGATAAAATATTTATTACCACCTCTTGTTTGAACAAATTTCAAATCACAGACATCTGTGTGAATCAATTCAAGGGGTTCGGTGTTTCTTTCAATTGATTGAAAAGATGACCTTGTTAATTTTGCTTCTACGCAAATCTCGCATTTATGGTTTGAATTGATGTGAAAGGAAGGAATATGATCCAAGTTAATTAGTCTACGCAAAGTATCATAATTAACATGACCTAGTCTACCATGCCATAAATTGGAAGACTCAAGCAAATAAGCAGAAGACTTATTCTTATTATTCACAATAGTCATTACATTCAATTTGAACAACCCATCGGTTGTATATCCTTTCCCTACATACATCCCAGATTTGGATAATATAACTTTATCCGATTCAAAAACCATGCGAAAGCCATGCTTGTTCAGCAACGATCCAGAAGCAAGGTTCTTGCGGATTTCTGGCACATACAGAACATCGTTCAAAGTCAATGTTTTGCCAGAAGTCATCTTTAGTAACACCTTCCCTTGACCTTCAATAGCAGATGAGGCAGAGTTCCCCATGAACATTTTTTCTCCTTCAATTTTTTCGAAGGTAGTAAACAAGTCTTTGTTTGTGCAAACATGTCTTGTAGCTCCAGTGTCAATCCACCATTCTTTCGGATTTGACCCTATCATATTTACTTCAGAAACCATAGCAGTCAGGTTCATGTTTTCCATGTCTCCCTCGATTCTATCAAGCAAATTTGCTTCATGCTTCTTCTTCTTTGGAAGCTTACATTCAGTGGACTTGTGACCTTTTTTGTCACAGTTGAAGCACTTCCCTTGGAATTTCTGCTTAGAGATTTTCCCTTTTGCCCCAAGATTTCGAGTTGGCTTTTTGCCTTTGGAGTTTTGCCCTTGCTTATACTCCACAAAATTTGCTTTAGCATCAACAAAAGTTGTTGCCTTGCAATCAGAACCCCTGTTGTCTTCTTCAATTCGAAGTCTAACGATAAGGTCCTCCATACTCATCTCTTTGCGCTTGTGCTTGAGATAGTTCTTGAAATCCTTCCACCCAGGAGGTAGCTTCTCAATAACAGCAGGCACTTGAAAGGTTTCACTCAAAAGCATGCCTTCAGCAAGAATCTCATGCAAGATAATCTGAATTTCTTGCACTTGACTGATAACAGTTTTGGAATCCACCATTTTATAGTCTAGAAATTTTCCAACGACAAATTTCTTTGCTCCGGCATCTTCGGTTTTATATTTCCGATCTAAGGATTCCCACAGTGCCTTCGCCGTCTTGTGTATTTGATACACGTTATACAGCGAGTCATGCAAGCAGTTCATGACATAATTTCGACAAAGGAAATCGGAGTGCTTCCAAGCATCAATAGCACTGACAGCTTGTGCATCAGTTAAGCCTTCAGACAGCTTTGGAGCATCCTCACTTAAGAATCTCGAGAGATTCAATGTTGTCAAATAGAACAACATCTTTTGTTGCCATGTCTTGAAGTTTAGGCCATGGAACTTCTCAGGTTTCTCACTATGGTTGGTAGAAACCATAGGAGTAATCTTCCCTTCAGGTTGTTTCACAATTGTGCCAGAGGCAGAGGCATCAACAGTAGATGTGTTGGTTTCTCTTCCTGTATTGTCAGCCATTGAGAACGGATCTGTTTTAAGATTGTTAGTGAAATAATAAAGTAGGCTGATACAAAAGAGAAGAATAAATACAACCTAGAAAGAAAGTAAAGATAGAAAAATAACAATAGTAACAATCCGTGGCTTGTGAGCACAATTTCCTTAAAACAGATTCGCCCCCTCCAGGTAGAGTGCTCGAGGTTGAGTAGGCGTCTGTCTCCCAGGATACAACGGATTAAAGGTGAATATGTCAGCACCAAACTTTATTCACCACAGCGAACTCGAACTAGAGCAATATGGAACACTATAAAATATGAAGATGCAAAAAGGAAAAAGAGAGAGAGAGAGCGCCCTTGCTTTTGAAATAAAAGGAGATATTTATAGATGCTAGCTTAGGGTGACTGTTCGAAATTGGCAACAAGAGTTAAAATCCAGATAATTATCTTTACGTTGATCAAAGTACCATATTCATGTACATACACGTATCTCAATAAGATAACGATAAAATCATGTATCAAGTACATGTATCCTATCATGAATAATATACATGAATCCTATGTACATGAATAGATAATTATCCTTTGATTCTTTCAAGAGTGCCATTATGAGAACAATTTTCTCATTCACTCTACAATGAATATAGCCAATTTTCCAACAGATTCTACCATTCATTACTTCTTCCCTGCATAGTCATGGAGCATTTCTTTTTCCTCTGTGCTTTCCTCTTCTTCATCTTGATGCTAGTCAAAATTGCAAGGCAATCTAAGCCAGTTAAACTGCCACCAGGGCCAAAACCACTGCCTATAATAGGCAACATACATCAACTTATTGGCTCTGTACCTCATAAAATCCTAGCAGACTTGGGCAGAAAACATGGACCTCTTATGTACCTGAAGTTTGGTGAAGTCCCAACCGTCATCATCTCTTCTGCAGAGGTTGCAAAAGAATTCTTCACTAACTATGATCGTATTTTTGCTTCTAGAGCCTATCTTCTTTCAGCCAGCATACTATACTATAACTGTACCGATATTGGCTTTGCTCCCTTTGGAGATTATTGGAGACAACTCCGGAAGATTTGCACAATGGAGCTATTAAGTCCAAGGCGTGTCCAATCCTTCAGATCAATTAGGGAAAAAGAGGTTTTAAATATGATCAAGTCAATTGCTTTACAAGAGGGATCAGCTGTTAATCTTAGTAAAAAGATTTCATCAGTGACATACAGCATCACTTCCCTGGCCGCGTTTGGTAAAGGAAGCAAATACCATGCCAAATTCATGTTGGTTAGTGATGAAGCTTTGAAGCTTCTGGGAGGTTTCAGCATAGCAGACATGTACCCTTCTGTCAAAGTTCTTGAAAGAATCACTGGAATTAGGAAAAAGCTGGAGAAGGTACACAAACAGGTCGATGAAGTACTGGAAAACATCCTCAGTGAGCACAAAGTTAAAAGAGCAGTACCAAAACGTGGAAGTGGGGAAGAAGCAAAGGATCAGGATCTGGTAGATGTTCTTCTCAAAGTTCAGAGTTCAGGAGAACTTGGAGCACAACTTACTGACAACAATCTCAAAGCAGTCATCTTTGTAAGTATTTCCATCGTTTTCAGACAATTTTCTTTTAGTAATTAATTCCGACAAGGACAAAAAAACAAGTCTTGCGATGATCAGGAATGTACAATTTGTTGATCAGCTCTTCAAGAATTAGATTTATTTTTCTGAATCAGATGTTCTTGATTCTGTTCAGGACATGTTTAGTGGCGGTGGAGAGACATCGTCAACTACTGCAGAGTGGGCAATCGCTGAAATGATTAACAATCCAAGAGTGATGAAAAGAGCACAAGATGAGGTACGTAGAATTTTTGGTGAAATAGGAACCGTAGATGAATCGCGAATTCGTGATTTAACATACTTACAAGCAGTCATCAAAGAAACACTTAGACTGCACCCTCCTGTTACACTTTTACCTGCAAGGGAATGCAGCGAACGATGCGAAATTTATGGATACGAAATCCCTGTTAAAACCAGAGTCATCGTCAATGTTTGGGCAATTGGTCGAGATCCCAACTACTGGACCGATCCTGAGAAATTCAACCCCGAGAGGTTTCTTGAATCTCAAACTGATTTCAGAGGGACAGATTTTAATTACATACCATTTGGCGCTGGAAGAAGGATATGTCCGGGAGTTTCATTTGCTTTGCCTAATATTGAGCTACCTCTAGCACAATTGTTGTACCACTTTGATTGGAAGCTGCCAGGTGCAGCTGTGAAACAAGAACAACTGGACATGTCTGAGACCTTTGGCTTGACAACCGGTAGAACACAGGATTTGGAGTTGCTTCCAATTCCTTACCACCCTTTTTTCTAATAATTCGGCGGCTTGTTAGAATAAACAAGTCTGAGTAGTGAATATCACATACTACAATCACTAAAGTAATAGTACTAGTTCTCTGTGAATTTTCATTTACTATAAAGAATAAGTGGATTTGATGTAGAATCAGTTTTTTTTTCTTTTTATTATTATTATTTTTGAATCTGGGCCTCACCTTGTCTTGGAATTGATTGTAAACCAATTTTTTACACTTTTGTCAATATGGTTTGAAGGGACTTGTGGCAATAACAAATCAGGGAGAAGAAAAATTGCAGCATATATAAGACTAGGAAACAAAAATCAAAAAGTTGCAATGTATCGATCGATACTTAGGAATCAATTTATGTATTTAACGTGTGTGGTGTAATTTTTGTGTACGTAACATATTCAAAATTTAGCCTGTCACTAAATCTTTCCCAGGTATACAGATGATAGGTCATAATTTGTTGTTAAATTTATAATTATTCTCCCTCTAATTTTAGCCAAATATTATTTTAATTGTCGGATACTACTTATATTTGGTATTTTGTGCTTATTTCAGGAATAGGAATGAAAAGTGTTTAAAATCAAAATTTAGAGGATTCGTCGTACGTTGGGCACTTCAAGCAGTGGGATTCGCTTGAAAAGCTGAAGAAATTAAATTGTAATAGATTTTATTTTATTTGAGGATGTCTTGTTTTAGGAGACTTTCGGTTGGCTAAGTTTTTTTACTTTCGTTTTGCTTTTGAATTGGGGGGGAAGGGGGGGGGGGGGCTTTTACAAGCAATAAGGAGACAAAAACAAAGGCCACGGTGGTTGACCTTAAAGAGACTACTTTTTCATTCTCGTAGGATCACAATGGAAAGGAGCAAAGTAGAGAAACCTTTCTCGCATGTTTTGTGAGGCTAGCCGCCATTGTTGACCCTTTGTCTTTGTACTTTTCTTCTTAATTCCGATACTTCATCACGCTCTTGGAGGAGAATGGCTGCGGCAATAAACTCCAATATTTCGCGCATGTCACTAAATCTTTCCCAGGTATACAGGTTTTCTTGACCGGGGCTTTTGATTGAGGGAACATTATAGTCTGATGTATCTGTTTTTGGTTCTCCGCTTATCCGCTGAGAAATTTGTGGGACATTCCCATACTTTGATGCCACATGAATGAAGTATACTAATTATAGGCAATTAACCATAATGTTATAGGCCAACTGACCATTAGAAGTTTACTAATTAATGACATCTGAAATGCTCATATAGTACGTTAGGTGAATGAACCAAAATATTTTGTCGATGAAACAAAATAAATACTGAGGTTGTCCGTAGAAACTCAGTCACATTGGACAAATCAACCCAAAATGTCAAAAAAACTTTGGTTTCCTTCCACTAGTTAGAATACTGTAACAAATTATTTATCCATCATAATGGCGTTGAAGCTTTACATTTTCTTTTTCCTTTCCTTCTCCCTTCATGACTCATTCCTTCACATGTTCCTATAAATCAGTCGTCGGCATATTATGAACCTGTCAAAAGGTTTTCCACCCTTCTGTGTTGGGTGTTTTACCATATAACCTTCTATGTTTTAAAAATCTATAGATAATGACCTAATGGTTTGTACTAAGGTGTCACTTTTCTATTTCTTATTTATCTATTTTTTTATTTCTCTTTCTTCTTTTTTGTATTTGACAAACATTAAAATTTATTACGATTTCATAGGCCAATGTACAATTGTTCAAAATCATGTCTTCTCTTTCCAAAGGAGAAAGAAAAAGAGGAAAAAAAAAAGCAAAAAAATGTATATATAAAAAATGTAGTGAAATGGTGTATTTGTCAGTTTATTAGTTTGACTTTGGCTTTGGAATATTGACTGTTAATTTCATCCAATAAAATCAATAATGACATTTTAATTCAAACTACGAGAAGTTTATGTACGTGTTTTAAATAATAAGGGTCTTGCGATAAAGCACTAATCTACAAAAAAATATATATATAATTTATCCAAAATTTAACCAAACCAAAGATATATGTAACCAAACCCAACAAAATTGTGATAGGAAACGGGTATACTTGTCAAGGGATTCAGGTCCTCTCCAGTTGCACTTGTGTCTAGTTCTGTCCAATTACATAAATTGATGTAATTTTGGTATCAACTGATACACTATTAGTACAATAGTGACGTTTTGCACCAACTTAGTTACAAATTCACGTTATCAAAATTGTACCATTTATACCGAACGTTTTATGGCCCCAGCGGGGTAGCTCAACCAGTGTGATTTTTCCTCTTTAGGCATGCTCACTAGAGTTCGAGTCCCGCTGTTAACGTGCTCGACGTGGGTTGGTGTGCCCTCTCCCGTGCTGCTGCAGGGGATTAGTCGGGCCAAAGGTCTGGACACCTGTGTTGACAAAAAATATATATATACCGAACGTTTTATGGATTACACAATAAGACATAACTGGAAATGGAGAGTCCCCATATCCATTTGACAAGAGCTCTATGTCATTGATAGACAAACCACACTTAAATATATCAACCAAATACAGAGTAATTTTCTTCTTTTTTTTTTATCTCCAAGTCTTAATCACTACTAGATAATTTCTTGTCTATGCCAAGACCATCCCAAAATTTGATCTTTCCAATTATCAAGGATCGATTCTTTTTCCGCTGTACTTTCCAGAAGGATTATGAGAAATAGGAATCAATTGCACATCATGTTTTGGCCTAACTGCCAGGCCAAAGCGCTCAGTCATGTCTAATGGTTGCAGTTTCAGTTCACCAGGGAGCTTCCAATCAAAACAATACAGCAGTTGTGCAAGCATCAGTTCAACATTAGGCAGAGCAAATGATATGCCAGGACATACCCTTCTTCCAGCACCAAATGGTATGTAGCCAAAATTTGTACCCCTGAAATCGATTTCAGAATCAAGAAATCGCTCTGGGATGAAATTCTCAGGTTCAGTCCAGCGCTTGGGATCTCGACCAATTGCCCAGGCGTTAATGATCACTCTAGCCTTGGCAGGGATTTCATATCCATGAATTTCACATTGTTCGCTACATTCCCTTGGCAGTAATAGTGGAAGTGGAGGGTGCAATCTCATGGCTTCTTTGATAACTGCTTGCAAGTATTTCAGTTCATGAATTCGTGATTCATCAACATTTCCTCTTTCGCCAAATACTTCTCTTATCTCTTCTTGTGCTCTTCTCATGACTCCAGGATTCTTTATCATCTCCAGCATTGTCCATTGTGCTGCTGTTGATGATGTCTCACCTCCAGCACTGAAAATGTCCTGACAGTTATAATGTTTGAGGTTATCTCATCAAAAGTAGAGATTAGAGAAGAATAAACAGCAATTGAGGTCATCTAATTACCCTGGAAATCTCTTCAATCAAAATCAAAATACGGCCAAGAATTTACAGAAGACACTTGATCACCCAAATTTTTATGTTGAAGTTGTTTCTTACCGTGGTTTAAAAGATGCAGATCGCTCTGCAATCTTTCTGCAAATATTAGTCCCAACAATTGATTGAAAATATCAAATAATAACATTTACTTACCAAGATAACAGCTTTGAGGTTGCTGTCAGTTAGGGGAGCCCCAAATTCTCCGGATTTCTGAACGTTTAGGAGAACATCTACAAGATCCTCCTTTCCTTCTCCCTTTCCTGGTTGTGCTCTTTTTTCTCTATGCTCTGTGAGAATGTTTTCGAGTATTTCATCAAGCCGTCTGTGTGTCCTCTCTACCTTTTGTCTCATTCCACTGATTCTTTCAAGTATTTTGACAGAAGGGTACATTTCTGCCAAATTGAAACCTGAAACAAGTTGTGCAAGATCCACCGCAGTCGATATGAACTCTTCTTGGTAGTTGCTTTTTTTACCAAAAGCAGCCTGGGCAATGATGCTATATGTCAGTGATGAAACCTCCTTGCTAAGGTTAACAACTGATCCCTCTTGTAAGGCAATTGCTCTGATCATATTTGATACGGCCTCTTCCCTTATTGATCGAAATGTTTGGACACGTTTTTGACTAAGAAGCTCCACCGTGCAAATTTTACGCAATTGTCTCCAGTAATCTCCATAAGGGGAGAAGGCTATGCTGGTGGCATTGTAAGAAATTATATTGATTGCAAGGAGCTTGGGTCTGGAAGCAAATATGATATCATGTTCGTGCATAACCTCTTTTGCAACCTCAGCTGATGAGATGATAATGGTTGACAGCTCACCAAGCTGCAGGTGCATCAAAGGTCCATGTTTCATGGCCAAGTCTCTGAGAATTCGATGAGGGAGGGAGCCAAAGAGCTGAGGAATGTTGCCTATGATAGGCAGTTGTCTTGGCCCTGGGGGCAGTTTTAGAGGCTGGGTTTTCTTTTGAAGTTTGGCTAACAGTGAACAAAAAAGGAGAAAAGCAAAGAGGAAAAGAATGATCTCCATCTCCGTTGGTAGAAAGAACACTGAGAGTATTTTAGGCAGGCCTTGCTACATTACCTGGTCTTATAGCATGCTAGTCTATTTTCGTAATCAACTCTAGTACCAGCCTAATTTTGGAATGGGATAATTTCAGAAACCTCCCCTTAAGTTTCTAATTATTGCATGAACTTCCCCTCTAGTTTAAAAAATTACATCTAGCTCCCTAGCATTTTAGTAACAATATAGACCCAATATGTTAAATTTGTCTTTAAAAATCCTAAAATACCCCTTTGTTACTTAAAAGGGGGAAAAACTCACTAATAAATTTCTTTCACATTGCAACTATTGTAAACAACATAACAACCACTCTAACAAACTCAATAAACCACTTTAGTTTAATATTCTCACAATTTTGACTGCGCACCATTAACGCCCCAAAACTTCCCATGTAAACCAATTGTGACAATTAAAGTTTGCATTCAATCTAATCTTTAGCCCCATTTTTTTTCTTTGCCTAAATTTTATGTTTAAATTGACCAATGTCGGTCACTATCCAAACTCGATCCAAATGGTTGCAATCTTGTTGATGCTAAAATAATCTAACCCACGAAGAATACCA